GCTTCGGCCCCTCCTTCGGGTTTCGATGCCAAGGCGGGCATCAGGAGCATTTTGCTGGAGCTGAAGGCGCAGGTCAACAACAGCCTATTCCAACTCAGTGATGACCCTGCCCTCGGGAGCCTTGTTAGAGGCTCCGGGGGCATTGACTTCACCGAGGGCCAGGTTGTTGTCCTCAAGGTTCTTGGACTGAGCACGGGTGGTTCTTCCCATCTTGGTAGGTGTTTTGAGTGAAGGGGAGGGTTTCTTACTTGATTGTTCGAGCTCTCAACGAGAGCACCAAATGATGGATAGTGTACCTGAGAGGTAGCTTATCCGAGGGGTTACTGCGGGGAGTAACTTAGAGAGAAGTCAGAGCAAATAAGTAAGAGAGAGAGAGCGAGTATTCAGTCTGAATTCAGCGTGGTTTACAAATAGGGAAAGGGGTGCTATTTATAGCAGCAATAAATGCTAGATAAGGACACGTGTCAGCATTCTGATGGTCGAGGGGTCACCTCAATCGGGGTGGCACTGGCATTCGCATGTGGCCGCATTAAATGCGGTGGTTGGACGTGACGTCTGTACTTGGTACGGTGATCTAGCGCATGTGATTGGAAGATTCTGCCGAGGAGGATGCCTTCGTCTGTAGATGACAGTCCGAAGGCTCTGCGTACCGAGGGCCTCAGAGTGCCGAGGGCTCTAGTTGCCGAAGGCTACTGTTTTCGCCATTTTCTCCCAGACACTTCGAGTGCTTAAAAGCAGATGTACTGTAAGTTTATAAGCCTTCGGCCATGGGGGCCGAAGGCACCCAAGTGTAAGTCGTGGGCTGCTTGGCACATGGGGCACTGTGATTTGGGCCTGCTGTGCTTCCTGGGCTTATTGGGCCTTTGTTGTAGTAGTGGGAGTCTATGGGCCGGGGGTCCCTGGCCCATATACTCCATCAAGGGGTCTCACTAGTGGCTTTTCGTGGGGTTGTCCGATATTCCCAGAGTATGTTATTTAGTTCATCCACCCAAGTCGTTCCCATGGACTCTTGCTTCTTTTTGAGGTCGTCAACAATTGTCATGTTTGCATTTCCCACCTTCCTGTTGCATTGAGGATAAGCAGCAGATGCTCTGCCGTCTAATGTAACTGAGAATCCTTTGCACCTGATTGCATCGTTGTACCCCATCATCACAATGTAGGTCATGTACTTAGAGACATGGTGCTGGGGGTCGGTCTTTCCCCGGTAGGCCTCAATATTGCAAGGCTTGTACCCCTGTGGCAGTGAGGCATCCATGATCTGACGGATGAATGGCTCGTGAATCCTCATATCATGATTGAGGTTGATCATGCCATCCATCGCCCTCTTGAGCTTGTCAAGTCACCTTATGAGGTCGTCGTTGTCCTGGCTAGCCTAGACACGAGGTGGGGAAGCGAGATCTCTATGGGCTCACCGATGTTCGTTGATCTCGTCTTTGAGATCTCCCCCATGCGCACTGCGACGGTGGGAAGAAATGGCTGCAGATGATACTTCATCACTTCGCTCCACCCTGGAGGAGAGCCTGTCATGCACAGACACTCTCCGTCCTCCAATCATGTCCATCACCGAAGCCCTCGGGGTCTGTATGGAATGATGAGACCACTGAGACCTTGCCAGAGGTGAATTCCTCTGGCGCTGCGCAGACATTTCCTCCTCCCATTGGGGCACATATGGAACCCGACGTGGGGAAAGAGGTCTCTCGTTGGTGTTGGGAACAATTCCTTGGAAGGCAGTGGTCAAGGTCTCCACAGTCCTCTGAAATGTTGCCAAACTCGCCAAAGCTTGCGTCGGATCCACGCTTGGGATGACATTCCCAGTAGCTAGCGTTTGGAACTATGGCGGGCGTGTCGCAAGACGCTTGGATTTCCCCGCACCTTGTAGGTGGTTCCTCAAGTCACCTTGAGTCACCATGTTGTCATTCCTTCTTCGGAAATCACTCTGCCGCGAACAAGATCCTTCGTCTTCAATCACAACGTAACCTGCTCCATTCGAGCACCACCTTGATTGCTGCCAACACGGTTGTGACTGTGTGATCCAACCATCGTCGTCGTAAATCGATCTCTCAACGAGAGCACCAAATGATGGAGTTTAATCCAACTACGAGAGCTAATCTACGAGAGGAGATGAAATTTAGGCAGTGTAAGGTAGTATTAGTATTCCTGAATTCCGGATCCTTGGTAGGATGTGTACAGGAAGTATTTATAGACCTTAGGTTCTAGTATTCTAGGAGGAAACCGATACATTTAATGCAATTAATTACAATAGAGTCATGTAATGTCTCGAACGTTGTGCAATCATTGTTTCCTTCAGGTCCGCGTTCTTTCTGTTATTTCCTTCCGCTGCCAGATAGCTATGCACGAATGATAGTCTGCCACATAAACCCTAAGAAGAGTCCGACCTCGGTAGAACTTCGCTCAAGCTCGAGGTCTGCTATCCAGCCCGGCCTGGTTGTGGGTTCCTTTTGCGGGTTGGATTCCTAATTAGGCCCAGCGGCTGTTATTTATCATTAATCCCGATTAATTGGCTGATTCCGTTGATGGACTTTGCTTTAATTCAATCTTGGGTCATGACTGTGATCCATGGTACCATATTGTTAGTAATGCCCACTATCTTGAATTAATTTAATGTTTCAGGTTTATATGAATGATTTATATATGTGAAGTAACAATAGTTATAGTTATAACATGTTCATTGTTGATAATAATATACAATAAGTACTTTCATGCACTTATATGTTTTTTTACACACTATCGGCCATTTTGGAACAACCAATGTTACCAAATAATTATTTATAATCAACTGGCATAATTAGTCAGTCACAACAGATACACAATCAGCTGTTAAGAAACCACTAACACAACCAGTTGTTAAGAAAGCGCTAATACAACCAGCTAACAACCGATTGCCAAACAATGCCAAAATGAATTTCGGAAAAGTGAATGTAATTAGACCCGATGAATTTAAGATAAATATTAGATTGGACGAACAACTAAGGATGTTTTATTTGGACTGTTTCAGTCCAGACTAGACCATATCAGACTTAGACAATTATAAAATACATAGAGACCAAACATTTATCATACCATACCAGACTTCAGACCAGAACAGTAAATTTTGGTTCAAGTAAAAACATCCTAACATCCGATTGTCAAACAAGGCCAAAGTGAATTTGAATAAATGTAAATTAAATTAGATACGTCAAATTTAAGATATATATTAGATTGGATGGATTTAAGTAAACGTACGTGCACTATAATAGGTTAGAAAGAATTGCAAAAAAAATTGTTTGATGTTAAGCTAGGTCACTACGTTAAAATGAGGTATTGCAGAGGTTTTTAAAAATCAACATATACTGTTTGTAAGCATAAGTTCTTGTTCTTTTCATAAAGTAAAAATAAAAGAAGTGAATCTAAAATTAATACTTAGAAGGGCCAAGTTTCACCTCAAAATTACATATACAAACAGTATATGTAAGATACCCGTATAAAATACCCGTATAATCTACTTTTGGGTGGAAGATATCAGGCCCAACTAATCTTTCTTTTCATTTTTAACTTTTCTCTTTCCAATATTGGGTTTTTATTTCACTTTTAGACTGGATTTATGCCCGCCCCTCCTTCCTGTTTCCTATTTCCATATTTTCATTCTTTTCTACGCAGGAAGCCACCGTCACATCAGGAGCATCGGCTAAGAGCAATACGAACGTCTCCAAGGATGTACGTCCCCAACAGGCCATCAAGGCCCAATTGAAAGGCGTACGTACAGAACCTTGACCTTTGGAGCAGGCAGGACCCAGGAGGCAAGCTCATGGGGATGAACGTCCCCACTCCTTGGCAGGAAGCCAAGATCCTGGCGGGAGGCAGGAGGCAAGCTCATTGGGACGAACGTCCCCACCCCTTGGCAGGAAGCCAAGATCCTGACGGGAAGCAGGAGGCAAGCTCATGGGGACGAACGTCCCCACTCCTTAGCAGGAAGCCAAGATCCTAGCAGGAAGCAGGAGGCAAACTCATGGGGACGAACGTCTCTACTATTTGACAGAAAGCCAAGATCCTGGCGGGATCAGGGGTGGACTCGGGCCGGGTGGCCCGACCCGAAACCGGCACTGTGCTGAACCGGCCCAGCCTGATGGCCCGGGGGTTCTCGGTGCGGGCTCGGGTCACCCAAAAGCCGAACCGGCTCGGCCGGTTCGAGCCCGGTCCTGGGCTTTTTAATTATTTTTTTTTTATTTTTTTTTAACTTTTCAGGTTGGGCTGGGTATTTTGGGCCATTTGGGGGTGGTTTGGGGGGTTGGGGGTGGGAGGGGGGTTAATTAGGAAATGGAAAAAAAAATTGACCCGAGGCCCGGACCGGACCCGGTGGCTACCCAGGCCGGTCTCGGGCCCACCTATTCAGAAACGGCGGCCCGCCTGGGCCTAGACCTGACCCGGACCCGGTCCGAATCCACCCCTAGACAGGATGCAGGAAGCAAGCTCACAGGGACGAACGTGCCAAGATCCTGCACAATTTCAGCCATCTTGGGGTTTCTTAATGAAAGAAGCAGGTCCTAATTTAGTTATGTTCTAGCGTCGGTTTTAGGCTTACGTTAGTTACGTGCTCAAGGTCCATTTTTGAAAAGAAAAACTACGGGCAAGTGGGCAACCTCTTTTTGAAAAAAGTTTTAAGAGGTGATAAAAGTGATATTGTTTCCACTTTTTGTTTCTATCATTTTCATTTTCATTTACTCGCAAAGGCTCCCACTTTTTGTCTATTTGTGAAAATTCCCTTTAAAAAACAATCTGCGTGCGACGGAGCAGGCACCACTTGCAAGAAATAGGTCACCTCATATGTCCATATCTGCCTGTAAGAGTGAGCCGGATTGTCCACTAGGCCGCCGGGCCCAAAAAAACTTGATTTTTTCACGACTATCAAAATTGTTAATGTATTTATAATATTAATACGACTCTCACCGGTTTTCAGGTAAATAATCAAGGTACCCACAAGAGTTTCCGGAGCAGGACTCGTCCTCGTTAATATACTTTATTTATTAAGATATATTTTACACACATATATTAATATATTATTAACAGCCAATCACCGGCTGTTCCAAGTAAATAATGGATTGAGATAGAAATGGTGCAGAATGGATTATACAGAAAAGGTGGTCGGTTTTCCAGATAAAATAATAAGGAACTATTTGTAGACAAACAAAAAGAAAATAATGGAAGAGCCAGGGTGGTTCATTATGTTCTTGTTTCCTTCCGCTTCCAAATCTTTCAATCTCTCTCCTCCCTAAAGAATTATAAATGTGTGGAAATAGAATGAAGCCCTACTGCTATCCCCCATCCTTTCTATCTTAGGTGCTGCAGCAATAGCTTGGCAGAGATGGTTTATCTTGCGCTCCTTTTATCTTTACTCTTCACGGCCTCTGCTCTTAGAGAAGATACTCTTGAAGGTAAGGAATGTATCATACTGTAATCTCTCATCTACAGTCCCCCCCGCCACACACTAAATATTTTTAAAATGTATAGGTTTTCAACCAAAGTGGGAAACCTCTGGTCCTGTGGAGTACATCTCGGGCGGGAAGTACTTTCTGGCGTTGAACGGCATCCATGCTATTAGGCTTGTGCATGAGGCATCTATTTCTCAGAGAATCCATGTGAAGAAAGGAACTGTGTATGCACTCACATTTGCAGCGTCAAGAAGCTGTGTGCAAGAAGAGGTGCTGAGGGTGTCCGTGCCACCTGCATTAGGGGACATTCATATGAAGAGTCTGTATAGTACCAATGGCAGTGATGTTTATGCTTGGGCCTTCAGAGCAACTTCTGACTTTGCTAAGGTGACCTTACACAATCCTGGAATGCAAGAAGATCCTGCTTGTGGACCGCTTATACATACTGTTGCTATCAAGGAACTTTTGCCTCCCCTGCTCACTACAAGTACTGCTCTCTTTTCAACTATTTCTTCGTCCCTTAATCAACCGTTTTCCCGATGCCCCCCCCCCCCCCCCCCCCCCGACTAAGGGTCAGTTTGCGTTGTTAAATTCTCGATTGGGGGAAATTATATTTGGACACCTTGTGGTGACATTACTGTGTGACAACATTCATTGGGTGACTAAAAATTAGATATGGGATAATCACCCAATGGGACTTCTGAAAATGCACATATTTAATGTCTCCCTATCATTATTCATTCAGATATGGAAATAGCCATCCATACCCCTCCCCAGTCCCCTCCAAAGACGTCCACCCAAACTAATCCTAATTCCTAAGTTGTCCTTGGTGCCTTTGCGTGACCAATTTATATCCAGTCCAGCCCTGCCTAGCGCTTTTTAGAACATTGCTGGAATAAAAATTCTGATCATTTATGTGGACATCTTGCAGACAACTTGGTCAAAAACAGTGGGTTTGAGGAGGGCCCTCACTATCACTTAAGATATGCTTCAGATGGGATCATACTTCCTCCCAAACAAGAAGATTTGGAATCCCCACTTCCAGGATGGATCATTGAATCGCTAAAAGCGGTCAAGTATATTGATAGATCTCACTTCCATGTCCCCTCAGGTCAGGCAGCCATAGAATTGGTAGCAGGGAGAGAGGGTGCTATCGCACAAATCATCCCAACAGTCCCAAAAAAGAAGTACACACTTACCTTCAGTGTTGGAGATGCAGGTAACGGTTGCCTTGGAGATATGATGGTTGAAGCATATGCAGGAAAGCATGCCTTCAAAGTCCCATTTACATCTGCAGGAAAGGGAAACTTCAAGACCGTAAGCTTCCAGTTTATAGCATTTGGCATCAGGACAAGGTTAACATTCTTCAGCTCCTTCTACCATACTAGGGTGGATAAATCTGGAGGTCTCTGTGGTCCAGTTATTGATGAAGTCCAAGTCCCTCCTGTTGCATAGATCTAAATACATCATCATCAAAACTGCACTGCCAGTTTGTGATGGTTATAAGAATGTTTGAACTTCAAAACTTTTCATTTACACCTCGCTTTGAGGACTGCATACTATGAAGTACAGGTTGCTTGAAATCAAAAGCACCACGTTTACAAAATATGCAACTAATCAATCAAAACTTCATTATCCAACATTCAGGGGAGATATATCTTAATCGCACAAGGTTTGACTGGATATAATATCCTACAAACAACAACAACAACAACAACAACATCCAAGCCTTGGTCCCAAAAGATATTGGGGTCGGCTAACATGAATCGATACATGATATCACAACCAAAAGGAAAAGAAGGAATAATGATAAAAAGATAAGCTATTATGAAAAGATAATATAAAAAAAAGATGAATATATATAAAAATGATAAAATAAAAAGGCTGCAAATAATGCTTATATATATAAGGATAAAAAAAACTATTTTAAATAAATAAATATATAAACAACTAGATACAAATATTCAGGTTCTTTTACTAATGCATCAGGATTACATGAACCCAACACAAACAATATCACATTCCCTTGACAGTAGCATATGAAGTCATACACAATCTTACCTCATTGCAGAATAACTTCCATATATTGCAAATTTAACTTGTGTCCTTGAAACATTTCCTAATCTGCATTTCTTATCAGGCACTATTATATCCTTTAACCACATTATCAAACCCTTAGCTTGACACAGATAAGAATGCAGTACACCAGTGCACCGAAAATAACACCAATACAAAAGTTAACTCAAGCCAAAATAATCATGAAATGATATACTTATGAGTTATGATAGAATGATCCAAGAGCAGCTATAGTTGTACCATACATCCACAAGGTCAACTGTTGATTTACTATAGTTTGTGATAGTACCAAAAAGTAGCCAGCAGCATTTCCCAGTGTAAGGGCTTGTATCTTAAAACCAGATAGGAAATCTTTCAACCAATGTGTTATTCCCACAGCAGATGAGGCAAACAATTTTTAAGGCCTTTATTCCAACGTGTTCTTAAGCGCCTGTCTACTGAACATGGTTCTACTTTCTGCAGATAATCATTCTTGAATCACAAAGCACAGAAACAAAAAATCTTTACTGGCTCTCATCTAAAATACCGACAAGACACTTCTCCAATAAAAATTCTGCATTAACCCAGGCATGGTATTTATCTAAAAGTTGTACTAAGGATCACAACTGTCTGAGACTGCGAGTAATTCTCCCATTATCAGAGAGCATGGAATAGTAATGTGAATATTTGCAATTTATACATACTCTACTTGGCATTCACATACCCCACTATTACAATCAATGAAGTACTTATATAGGTTCAGAAGCTCAGTAGTCCGTTTCCCTTTTCCAATAGATTACTTTCAGAAAAAATGGAAGGCATTTAATTAGATGGCTATTAAGCTATTATTTAGTACAAGGCTCAATCCAAAATTTAACGTTTATGCTAACCAAATATCACAAATCATCTCAAAGTGAAGGTGTGACTAAATCATGCGTTTTTTAAGCTTACAAGTCCATTTTCAAGTGAAGTAAAAACCAAGGCAGTCAACAACTATAGACTAAATACAATAATAAATAGTATAATGTAATGTTTTGTGTCAACTCCCAAGCAACACTATGGCATTTGGATCATTTATAAACAAAATCAGGGGATGTAGAAATCATTTTTATGGGATTAATTTTAAACCCTTTTGTCATTTGTTTACTAATCCATGGTGTTAATGGAATGTGATCAAAACAAAAAAGCTCTTCTTAGTGCTAACTTAACTAGTTACATATCAGGTAAAGATATTCTAATATTGCATGGAGTATAATAGCAGGATACTGAACAAGAATGTGCAATCTTTGCCAACTGCTTTCATCAGCATGTCAACACCTGACAGACAACATTACACGGGAATCAAATATCAACTCAGTGTTATTAAACATTGCTAAATGATAACCATATAAAAAACTAACAGGTTTGCCGGTGCTGAAACTTTAAGGAACAGAATGCAAAACTGGGACTATGAAATGTGCTACAAAATTCTTGCTGAATTTCATAGAAAAAGCGAACAAGAATTCATGTACAAGTCAGAACGAAAGAAATTTTAGAAATTACATGGTCTCTACAGTTCTGAATTGAGTGCAAAAAAGTGATTTAGTGGTAGACTACTTGGGCAGTTTCTTGGTCAGATCTATGCACACTTTGGTCTATATCAGAAAATCTTAAAGGAAATTTGGAAGAAGTGAAGCCTGTGGTCTGATCATAAGTTCATAACAAAGGTACTTAATGTACATCATGTGCTTGTTGCAGTGATAACCATTGGAAAGTTCACTGCGAGGCACCAAGTAACATTTCGACCAACCAACTATCTAACTCACGGTTTCACCCGGAAAGCAACTCTAACCATCAGGCTCTTTTTTTCTTTCTGAGGTAAAATACAAAAAGGAACCGATGTATCTTCACATTTGGGCTAAATGTAACAAAAAATGACTGCAGGGCTCTTCATCGGTGTAAGATACAATTGTTTCACCTGTGGCTATGGGTATTGATGTCAAGCCTCAAGAATAAAAGACTATTAATACAGCATACTCAGAGCAAGCATAGGACATGTTTTGAATACCAGAATAAGAAAACGCCTTTTTTGTGTGGTACCAATTCTAATGATGGCAATCCGTTGAATTTATCAGGATTCAGGACACCTATGTTAATGAGAAAACTACCCATCTACCCACCAAAAAAATTGCAACAGGTGGCAGCAGAAATTTGTAAATGAAAGGAAGTTGATTCTGTAACTGCTACATGCCTACAACATTGGCAAAACTAGAAAGATGCATACCTCCAGGGTGAAATTTCATGTATGGTGAAATATTGTAGACACGGCCTTTCAAAACAGTCCACATTGAACCCTCACTTTGGTGCTGCTTAACTTCATTTATAGTTATGAGTCTGCGATTTGACTCCCCCCTTGTTCCTGAGGACATAATAGGTTTACAAAACAAGCACCCGAGGTCACACATCCTTGAAAACCAAATTACCAATGCCATAGACATTTGGAAATTGTTAATCTATAAATAAATCTAAGAATTAAGGGACTAGTATTCAAAAGAATATCATATCCATGCAACAACAAAAACAACAACCAAGCCTTGGTCCTAAATCATTAGGGTTGGCTATATGAGCCAAAAAACAATCACTTGAGAATCAAACCATAGTTAAACAATAATTGATTGTTAAAAAATATTTCAAACCCTTTGTTCCTATTTTTCAATCTAGGTTGACCAAATCACACAGTTCAAGGAAAAGTATTTGAATGATAAGCTAACCAAAACATTTAGTACTTTACCTAAAAAGCTCACATTAAAACCTACCTTCCACTTTATGTCTCTATGCTCTTCTTAGAAAATGATTAAATTGAATAGTAAAAGTAGGGTAAAGAGGGAAAGGGAGATTTAATCTGCATATACGGTATAAATGGATGGGAAAACAGGAACAGGTAAATTTGGTCAACCTAGATGGATACTCTGTCTATCCCACAATTTGCTTCCCACTTTACTTTTTATGATGTCCCAAAGCTTTGTTCAATCGACATTGTTTCTCTCCTTTCTAACACCAACCTCAACCATAAAATTTCACTTTCTTTATAAGCACGTGTTGGGAAGAAAACTTTGCAACAAACAAGTATGTGTATTAAGGGGACTAATATTCTTATCATTCTATTTCTCGTAAGATAACCTCACAGATCTCTGACTGTGTAAAAACCCCATATGACTGACCTTTTAGAATAAGAAAGGGTCTGATCTTTGACTGACCTTTTAGAATAAGAAAGGGTATGATCTTTGCTAATGATGGTTCATTACATTGCCAAATGCGTAATTATAAGATAAACATTGTTCATAATAAAATATGGAAATAAAAAACAGGCATAGACGATATTTCTGCTCACATTAAAGCAAGGAATTGCAATCCTATGTATACCAAAAGAATGAAAGTATCTATGAAAAATCATTGACCGACCTTTTAGAATAAGAAAGGGTCTGCTCTTTGCTAAAGATGGTTCATCACATTGCCAAATTTGCAATTATACGATAAACGTTGCTCATTATATAATATGAAAATAAAAAACACGCATACAAGATATTTCCGCTCACATTAATGCAAGGAACTGCACTCCTATGTATTCCAGAAGAATGAAAGAAAGTATGAAAAATCACTGTGCATGGAATGAAATATATTTCTTGAAGAATCCTACCAGCAAGGTCAGGATGCGTCGCTGTGAGCCTAAGCCAGTCCATCTGGCTATACCCTTTCTCAAAGGGTACCTTGGCTCGAGGAGCGGGCTTTCTTGCATAATTTATTCGGTTCTGTAAAGCCTCAAGTGAAGTCTCAGTGCCTTCTGATGCTCCAGGATTGGAACTTTCACTCACTTGTTTTTCAGAAGAGTCTATAGTGTTAATAGACAAAGAGCAACCAGTCTCCTGTTTCTTTAAGTTAGCATTATGGCACGACTTTTCATGGCCAACAGCACTAGTATTCTCACTAGAAGCAACATGATTTGATGGATCATCATTTATTCTGATTCCACTTACATCTTGAACAACTTTTTCTTCTCCAGTGCCCTCTTGGTCATTATGAACAACAACCTATCATAAGAAGAACCCTGTTGATTAATGAAAGGGGTGGCGGAGAATGAATGAGAGAAAATCCAATTTGTCACTTGACATTTCACATTGATATAATGAGATTATGAGAAATGTTTACTAAATAAGTTAATATGACATCAATGTCTAAAATCCATTTTAGGATAAACTCAAAGATCTCACCTGACAAAAGGTGAAATCATCATCATCATTAGCCATTGTGAAATGTGATCTGGAATCAGCCTCAATGACTCCAAAAATAATCCTGCCAATTTTTTTAGGAGAAAGCAAATCCACTAATAAGTGTGTTCTCAATAGTTTAGCAGACGTGTAGTAATTACTAAGGAAAACAGCACCACCCGGAGCAGCTTGTTAATCAATATAATATCAAGTTTACAATCATGTGCTGCAATGTTCAACTGACCGTCTTTCCGCACCTCTCCTCGCCCCACCCAAATAGTTAAAACACACAGACACTCTTCAAACTTTAGCTAGAATGAAGTAAAATTATACGCTACCACTTTTTATATTATAGCTTTGGGTTCTGAATTCTGATCTCATTCTCAGCTTTACAGCACTAGTTCCCGATCATCTATTCAACATTTTTTCCAATATCCTAAAGTAGATATTTTCCATTCGTGAGCTCACCCTTACATTTAGAGTGTTCTACTTCGGTTCTTGTAAAAAATATTATCAATCAAAACAAATAGATCAGTCTTCCGGAATATGTACAACAACAACAACATCCAAGCCTTAATCCCAAAAGAATTTGGGGTCGGCTAACATGAATCGATCTATGATATCGATGCCAAAAAGAGAAGGCGGACAAGAAAAGGAAAAAAAAGTAAGATAAAATGAATAAAATAAAGATACATAAATATAAAATAACAATAACACAAGAATATAACCAAGATAAAAGAAAAATAAATAAAGGAGCATAAAAAAGCTAGAAGATAAAAATAACATGTTCTACATCAGCGCACACAGACCTATCTGCATATAGGAATGTAAAGATATACAGTGTCTAGAGAGAGAGAGAGAGAGAGATGGCTCACTGCCTCACTTGTGCTGGAGTTGAAATTGAGCTTCCTTATTCGGAAGTGGTTATGACTGGGATGATGGAGGAGATGTTCTTAATCCTCAGAGAAATTAACGGCCTGTTTGCTTGGATAGAGTATTGGGAAGGTAAGTATTAAATATAATCTTACCTTAGTAACGGAGGTGTTAAATTATCAATAATTGCATGTAATGGTATATATTGTTACTTAATATTTACTATAAAATACATGATGCTATTAATAATCGCAAGTGGTGTCCGAATCAACCAACTTGTAGGTGTTCCGATCAACTGATGCTTTAAAAAATGAAACCCAAATATACAAGCAGTGTATACTTTGAATATAGCTTCCGTACAAACAAATGAATAACCAATCTCATCAATATAACGGAGACAAAGACTATTGATGGAATTGAAAGAGAGAGTCCATTCTATGAGAAAAACAAAATAGACAAAGATAGTACGAAATCAAAAATTAGACAAAGATAAAAAATCACAGAGAGCTGTCAAAAATCAAAATGATTTTCAATGTCCACTACGTAGTACGAACAAGCTATGACTTTTATACAATAAAAATCCGCCAACGTTTGCACGCGCAGAGAAGAAGAACTGGGAAAAGAGAAGACAAACCTGGAGAAGAAGAACAATCTCTGCCGGAAGAAGAGCCGCAAGAGGAAGAAGGAAGAACAGACTTTGGAAGAAGAGGAATGGGAAGAAAATAGACTTTGGACATATAAATTATACGGAGTATATGATGCGCTTGATGGGGTTTGATGCCAGCCATCCTTACCATATTTCTATGATATTCCATCCTCATATTTTCAAGTATGTCACACTACCGTTGTCACATTCCAAATTGATAAAAGTTGGATTCTAAATCATTTTTACCAGCTTTCAAGCCCGTGCATTGTAATTTACTTAATTTGAAATTTAATTTCTTTCGGATCACATATAATGTGATTTAAAAGAAAAATAAATTTAGTCTAATATAGAATCTGTTTGATAATACCAGAGTAAATAGAATTAACTTATTTTGCTGAAATTGATTCAATTTTGGTTAAATAGGTGGAATCTTCTGAATCATGAAAAATATATGTGAAATATATTCCATTTGTGAAACAAAGAAAAAAATATATGGAAAAAAAAGTTAAATTGGTCTTCTACATAAGCATCTCAAGTAAACATAATTGTTATGAACCCAATAATAATAAAATTTTATATTTCTTAATTGTTAGATCTTACAGTTTACTCATTAATAAGAACGTTTTTAATTGAATTAAAATTTCGGGTTTGATTTAGTATGAATTAATATGGTCTATTAGATGTCTATTTTTTATGTGACTTGTTGTTATAATTATTAAAGTTTGATCTGATCTGATTTAATCTGGAACTGAAATCAATCCAATTAAAAACATTCTATTAAAATAAAAGTAGGAATTCGTAAAGCTATAAAGACTTTCTAATTTGGATTAGGAATCTATTTCAAAAGTGAAGACATATTTGAATTTTAGGTGTAAAATAAAGAAACAACCAAAAAAATTACTTATTTGGCTAAGCTAAACATATTTACTTGTGAAAATATATATACTTTATGTTGGTTATAATTTTTAATTTCATTTTTAATTATTTACTTATTTGAAGCTTACTAATTTAGTAATAGGTGTCAAATTAATAAGTAAACTAATTTGCATATTTATTTCTATATAATTCGGTGTAGTAAACTAATATAAATTAGTTTCCATATCAATAAACGTTATTAGAATTTCACTTTGATAATCAAAAATTATTTTACTTATTTGAAACTTACCAAATTAATTAAGGTGGATTTATAAGGATTTTTGTTTCCATATCAATATGCAATCAAAAATAGAATCTAATAAAAACAAAAGGTATAAAAATAAGTAAATAATTGTTATACTCCCTCCGTCCCTCAATATTTTTCCAAGTTTGACTGCCACGTGAATTAACAAAGTAAAAACTGTGTGGTTGAGGTTTGTGCAGAGGAGAGAGAATTAATTGGAACCACAAATTCTTTACTTAAAAGAGAAAGTGACAAAGTTAATGGGACATCAAAAAAGAAAAGTTGGCAAAGTTATAAGAAACGGAGGGAGTATATAATGACATGGCAGGATTATGCGGCGTTTTGTATGCTCTTAAAAAGTTCCTCTTATATATATATATATATATATATATATATATATATATATATATATATATATATATATATATATATATATATATATATATATATATATATTGATTGTTTTCTCATTTTATCAATTTAATATCAATTATATATAGCTATTTTTCTTAGTAACAGCACTACGTCATCATGTACTAATATAATAGAAAGGTGATAAATGTGATTGAAAAAGTAAATATGTGAATGAAATTTGAGTATAATAAAGTGAAATGTGTGGACCACATATTTTTTGGGTCTTTTAAAAAAAGAAATATGAAATTTACTAATATGAAAAATAAACAAAATAAGAAGGTAAAGTAGGACAGAGGGGGTATTATTTATGTTTGTATTGTTTATTTATTTATTTATCTATTTATTTATTTGTATTAAATTAGAATAACAAAATAATATGCTCCGCACCAAGGATGTTTTCTTTTGGATTGTTTTAAGTCTCAGACCGAACCAGATCAGACCAGATGAGATATAAACAGATCAGACCAGACATTGACTATTAGGAATACATTGAGTTGTAATTGTTTGACCTAACTAATATTGTTGAGTTGTGATCTGTTAGCTAGTTAGTTAGATAGAAGCTTATGTACTCTTAAAAATACATTGTAACACACTAACACGATCAGTTACAATCAATGAAACATATCACCGTCTCTCTCTCTATCTCTCTATCTCTCTCTCTATCAACATGGTATCGAGAGCTTGATTTTTCGTCGATCATGGCACCTTCGTCTACCACCGCTTCTTCCACCGGAAATAATCCTTTTCTGGTGAGCTTCTCGCATCCGCTTCCGCTCAAACTAGATTCGAACAACTTCCTTTTCTGGAAACATCACGTCGAATCAATCGTATGAGCTCACAAGCGGTTGAAATTTGTATTAAACCCGATATACCACTTCGCTTCCTCAACGATGAACAGGAAAATGACGGAATTGTCAACGAAGCTTTCATCTCCCGGGAACAGCAGGATCAAATGTTATTTTCAAGGCTACTCTCCTCGTTATCTGAGACTTTGCATGCTTGAGTGATTCATTGCACGAGATCGTATCAGCTTTGGGATGAACTTCATAAGTTCTTGCAAGCTAACATCATTGCGAAGGTGAGACAACTTAAGTCTGAGCTTTATTCAACGGCCAAAGGTGACCGATCCATATCTGAGTATCTTCTCAAAATCCAGACGATATGTGACAATCTGTTATCCATTGGAGAACCAATTTTAGACAAAGATCATATCAATGTCATACTAGAAGGTTTACCGGAAGATTATGAATCTCTAGTTTCATCACTTTCTGCTCGAAGTGTATTGGGTCCAGCTACATACTATGAGGTTGAATCCTTACTTATCGAGAAAGAGATGCGAATTCGCAAGCTTCGTGCATCCTCACGGAATACTTTGTTATGAGCAAATATCAGTGTTCTAAAAGGCGCTAGGCCCTAGTCGGGCGGTGACTGACCACCTAGCGCCTAGCCCGCCTAGGCGGGCGCCTAGGCGCCGACTATGGTGCCTATGTATTTTTCCATTAGTTTTTGTTTTCTTTTTATTTCCTTTGAATTTTAATTAAATTAATAATAATTTTATAATATTTTGAAAACAGAAATAGCTCATATAATCATTAGATGTTAAGTTTTTTTTATAGTAGAATCGTCAATAATAAAATAATTAATAAATAACTTAAGATATTTGTGTTCTTTACTCTTTTAAAATCTTAAAATACATTCTGAAATGTTCATTTATATTTGAAAATTATTTTTTTATTGTGAGAATATGAAAATAAATTATATAGGAATAGAATACTTCTTGATCACACGATGTTTAAAGATAAAACGGGAAAAAAAGTTGGTTCAGGAAAATTTTTAGTCCAGGCCGCCTAGCCCGCCTAGGCCCCGAAACGATTTTTCCCACCGATTAGAGCGAAATCAGGGCGCCCGGCCACCGCCTAGCGACTAGGCGGCGCCTAGGCCGATTTTTAGAACCATGGAAAATATTGCACGTGTTGAAGATCTCTCCCTCAACGCTTCTCAACAACAAAATTCGAATGAAAACTCAGCTCAGTTTGGTAAATTTTATACTGCACAACGAGGATGTTATCAGTCTAGAGTAGGGGTGGTTCGGTACGGTATACCAAATATTTTCTCTCATACCTTTACCGTACCAAAACTTTCGGTATGCAAAATTTATATACCGTTACCTTACCGAAGTTTCGGTATACCGCATTTCGGTATACCGAAATTTCGGTTCGGTAACGGTACGGTATCGGTAAATTACCATGCATGTCTCCCGATACAACAAATTATCATAGACTAACGAAATATGCTAAATCGGTGTTACTAGTGACATATTTATTTCATTATTAAAATTTTACAAATATTATTAATAATCTATTGATGTCATACTCAATATTGAACAATAATTATTATTAGTATATTTAAGCAGTTCAACATGCCACGTATTAAAAAACAACACATTCTCCTAAAATAACTTGAACGATATAGATATAATTAAATCAATAGTGATATCTAACAATAATAAATAAAATTATTCAAACAACATGGATATAAAATCATTTATTCCTAATACTACCTCTGTCCCAAAATGTTTAGCCAAATCTCAAAATTTGGACCATGATTTTGATTAGTATAATATTATGAAAGTTATAAATTTTATACTTTTATGAAAGTACTTTTAACAAAGAACATTTTCATATAATTTTTATATTATAAATAATTTCCAATAAATATATATTAATCATCAAAGTTTTGGATTTGACTAATCATTTTGGGATGGAGGTAGTATGATATTGTGCATTTAGTCATTTTTATATTTTTTTAAAAAAAATGAATAAGACTTTCGAACAAAGTTGTGTGCCCCGACTCATGGAATCCCTATGTAGATACACCTGTCACATAAGTGTATCTCTCTCCACTCATTAGCTACTCAGCGACTCAGTCATCGCAACTCGCAAGCTCTTAGAACAAGATGAACTTGTTTTTGGACATTAGTACGTTACTAATTAGTCATTGGAGAATTGTAACCAATGTAAGTATTAATTTTGGGCTTCATAATTGTAATGGAGTTTTACAATACTCTAGAATTAAAAGTAATAATTGTTGGGTAGGGAGTCAGTACGGTTTTATACTGGTATACCGCGGTATTTGAAAACATTTACCGTTACCGTACCGAAATAAATCGGTACGGTATGATACCGTACCGAAAATGACGGTATACCAATATTCCGGTATTTTTCGGTATTTTTCAGTACGGTAAGTGCGGTATACCGATTTTCCGATATTTTTGCCCACCCTTAGTCTAGAGGAAGAGGATGTAATTCCAATTTGAGAGGTGTTCCTCGAGGAGGAGCAAGGCCAGGAGGATGATCATCTGTTATCTGCCAAGTTTGTGGAAAACCAGGACACAATGCTCTCATGTGTTACCATCGCTTTAACCCTAGCTATAATTCTCAACCTTCTAATTCTACGGATAACTGGAACAAACATCAAATTTCTACCTATTCTCCTTTTCTTATGCCTCGTCCTCCATAATTCTTACAACAACCTCCATCACCAATGTTTCCCTGCCATCAACCTG